GGGCCGTGGTGTCCAGGCCATAACTCGACGCCCTGATGGAATTCCGGGCTGAAATTTGGACCGTTTATGCAATCAAGGGTGGGGATCATGCGCATCTTATTATCTTTGCAAAGTTTCCACAGATTCAAACTCAAAAATAGAATTTTGTAAATTGACCAGAAGGCCTGCCTCCGGGAAGATTGGTCACCCTTATCTATGCCCCCGCGCCCCAGGACAGAACAGGCCTTTACCCGCCGCCTCCTCCCGTCTGCCCGTTGGTGTAGTGGATTAGCGCTCGGCCTACCACGCGCAGGGTCGTGAGTTCGGATCCTGGGAGAATTTCGTTTTTTGCTTTTTGGTAGTTCAGCAACAAAACATATTTCTAGGAACTCGGTGTGCAAGATTTAGGTCTGGCTCTCGCTCTAGCGCCGCAGGCCAAAGAAAAGGCCCTTGGCCCGCAGACCAGATCCTGGAGAAAAACCAGTAGCTAGCGCCGCAGGCTCAAAGATTCTAGCGGAACGCTGGCTCTGGCGCCGCAGGCCAAAACAATGGCTCCTTGACTCAGGTTCTAGCGCCGCAGGCTAAAAGAAGAGGGTATACAAATTCATGGTTCCTGGACGTGGTCCAGTGGAAAATGGCCGCGAAGCGGTCTTTTTCCACTGGTCTTAATATCTGACAGCCAGTGTAACGACAGAAATGAGTGAAAAAGTGCCAAAAGTTGCACGGTTTTTTTTAAATTGTAAAACTAACGGACAAAAACAAGAATACACTCCAGGATAATAAAAAAAAGAGTATAAAACGGAATAAATGTAACGCAAACGCTAGGTTCCGCAAAGAACCGATGCTAGCATGCCACGTTTTTAGCGTATCTGAACTGTACGCGCTTTCCGCACTGTTTGAAAAACGGCATCGCCAAATTATACCGAAAAGTCCTTTCAAAATTAGAGATTCTGTTTGCTAAATTCAGAAAAATTGCCTCGACCCGCGCACCGCACGATGGCCTATTGGATAAACTCTCACTTCACGCGCGCAAGGCCCGAGTTCGATCCCCGCCAGCGACAAACTTTTTGCTTTTGCCCAAAACCGCAGGAAATGTATGACTCGTCATAAACAACAATTCCCAACTCATAATCTAACCCTTCGTCCCCACACAGCGAGAGAGCGCGCGCGGAATATCGACTAATTGGCGACTAGGAGGAGCACTTTGTTCTTTCTCGCCCGGAGCTTCTGGCTGCTTGCACCGACAGGGGAGGGGGAGGCTCTCTCGGTGGAGAAAGTTCTTCATTTCCCTTCCGCGATCCTCTGGTCGGCTTCTTCTGCTCTGTCTTTCTCTGGCGTTTCCCCCTCTTCCGGCGCGGCTCTCGATCGATAGCCGATATTTCGGGGGATGGGAGACGAGGAAGAAGAAGAAGTAGAAGAAGACAGAAGAAGCCGATACTTCTCGAAAAGGAGGCACTCTCTCGCGCTAGGATCAACGGGGATCAAAAAGGGAAACGTATTGGAATTCAGGGATGGTACAAGAATAAACCGTTAAAATACCGAGTTATCCAGTCGGTCAAGTTTACAAAACTAATACAGCCAGTCCATTTTAACCCAAAAATCGTCATTTTTATTTTCTAAAACTAATTTTCCTAATAATTTCGTACGGCGCTAGGGCGAATAATATACCATTTTTATCGCATTTTAGCGTTTACAACATAAAGCTCACAAAAATTAGCGAAAATTTTCTACTTTTTGTTCTCCTATTTAGAACTTTCAGAAAAATAGACATCAATAAATTCAGTGGCAGTCAGGATCCGCTCTTCGCTTCCCGTATAAAACTACGCGAGCGCGACCTCATCCGATGTCCGATTTTTTGATTTTTGAACAACCCGCTAGCTAAACATGCGGCTTCTTCAAAAATCAATCCCCCAATTCCGGAAACACGCCAAACCCTCAGCTGATCAAATACATTGCCGTTTCACGTTTATCACAGCAAAAACCGGTTAGCAAGTAAATGTCAACGTATTAGCGCGGCTGCCACACTACGAGACGCGACGAAAAAGTACGGAAAACTATTGTGTTGACATCGAAATCATGCAAGATGGGCGCGGGGCTGCTAGGATGGGGTGGAGCGGGGCTTATCGCGACTTTCGAAGCACGCCGATATTGGGCTCAAGTCAGAAGCGATCATAAAGAGCCAAAAAAGCGGAAAACAGAATTGTTGAAAAATTATTGTAACGTGTGTGTTACGAAAAATTAGCAAATTTGGAGCATGAAACGGGAAAATCATAAAAATTGTAGTGCTTTTAATCTACTACACCCCCCAATAAGGCGAAAGAACCCATAAAAATTCGATCAATATGCAATCGAAAAAACTGAATAAGAAGACTCCAAAAAAGACAAAGAAACTAAGTTAATGTTTGGCACTCTGCCAACACAAAAACCGTCGTCGTCACTGATCTTCCGACTCAATCCGGCGAATGGCTGATAGATGTGGACTCACGGAGTGAGTCAGAAAAGATATAGAGGAGCAGCAGGCTCTCATCCAATACCCATTCAGCCCTCACAACGTTTGGGAGAGTGCCGAGGAGGTGCCGGTGGTACGGTAGGGGAAAGCAGCTATTAACTGCCGGAGTCATCACTCCCAAAAAATTGGTGGGGCGCCGGGAGAGAGTGGAAGAAAGTTGGTAGGAAAAATTTAGGTGGAGAATCTGGAAAACCGGGGAAAAGGAAAAGGAAACTAGAGAAAATGAGAGCGAGGTGAGTCCCAGGGTCAAGCTCAGGAGCCCGACTTGAATGACATCGAAAACACGGTTTTGGTCTGTTAGCGGGAGTGGAAACCAACTTTGGCTTATCGCCTCGTAAGGTCTGGATCATGAGATATCGATGTTTAATGTAGCATTTGCGCTATTTGTAAGCATAAAAGGTTTATAAATATTATTAAAATTTGCCAAAAATTACTTTTTTCCTCAATAAAGTATAAAAACGGCTAAAAACTGAACACAAATCCGTTAACAACATCTAAAAACGCTAAGAATTTTGCTACGTCAGTATAGGCTTCACCGCCCCGCCCCCCGCTAGCAGACTAGAACCGCAAATACTACCGCTTCACCCGGCCCGCGAACCCGTAAAGTGCAAAGCAGCATACAAGCGAAAAGTTACGCAACCCTGCGCAAATATTAACGCACCGTCTCGCCCTGAGGCGAGGAAGAGGAAAAGTCGCGCGGGCGCGCACACCCCCCGGAGACGCGGCGCCATCGATCGAGCCGAGCGGCCCGCGAGAGGAAATCAAACACACGACAAATAGACGGACAAACGAACAAACGGCACAGACGGACAGACACACGTGAGGGCGCGGAAGCGGAATACTTAGGGGGCCCGGGAGGTGCGGGCCCGCTTTCAAAATACCCCCCCTGAGCGGGTGAACTTTGGTGATGGGAGAACAAAAAGAACATTGATCACGGTCATTAGCGGGTTAGTAGACTTTACTTGAACTCTAAACTTTAGGGAAAGATGTATAGAGGTAAAAAACAACAGCAAAACGGAGTTTTGACTCGGCATGATCGCCCGAAATGAAAAAAATCCCTAAAAAAACCATGATAAAGCCAAGGCGGAAGGTTGAAAAAGTAAAAATGTCGCGTAAAAAGATATAATACGCTCACCTCGGTATAATATTGTAAAAACTTTTAAAGGGGGCGCCTCCTCGACCAAAAATGAGAATAAGCAATGCGCGCATACGATAAAGGAGGCAAGAGGAGCCAGGGGTAGCGATGCACGGCATGATGCCAGATAAAAAATACTGCAGTGCTGTGGTCCCAGAAAATTTCTGAGCCGGAACTTCTCAAAATCGAAAAAGAAGCATTGATGATCAGAAAAGCAAGTAGATCCGAGTAGCAGCAGAATTTCCACGTCTTACAGATTAAAAATATTCCGCTTGACTCCAAGCTTCCGGGCCAAAAATCGCAACCCCGACCCAGGCGTCGTCACGGGACTCCCGGATCAGCTGATCACCCCAAAAAAGTGACCCGTCATCGCGCTCCGCCCAACTTTACGCCAGCCATCGCGCCGTGCCCGCATTTCAGAAGTGTCAACGCCGCCTGGCGTCCAGGGCGTGACGCTCGGGTTCAAAGATTCGACGTTGCTGCCAACAGCCAGGGTTGGCCGATCGGCCGAATTTTGGCGCGCGGCCGTACGGTGGAAGGGCCCGGAAGTGACGTCACGCGGGTGCGCGAGGCGAGCGGAGGAGGGACACGCGCTGGGGCCCTTGCCCGCCGCGCTGCCCCACCACACCCTTTCGCCCCCTCGGAAAATTCTTGCAAAATTCGGGCCCACAACGCCGTTTTCGCAGGGTTTCGAAAATGGGCAGGAGCTTGAGGGGCTTGAGGATCGAAGCTGTGAAGCCGGCTTGGCTACGGGCTAAAGAAACACTAATAAAAAGGAGCCGCAGTGCGAGTCCGTATACTTTTAGCTACAAAAAGCTCCAAACAACGTTTTCTTCAGCTTGAAGTTTATTGATTTAACTTAACTTAAGCCAAACTAGGCTTTAAACTATGCAAACCGGACATTAAAGCTACGAAAAGTTACATAGGCTTAAAATAGGCCTATTTATTTGGCGCTAGTTGACACTAACCGGGTTTGTTAAAACCAATTCGGCGAAGCGGAGCCTCTCGTAATATCTTCAAAACCAAGTTCCAAAAATTCGAGCGCCCACTTGTTGTTTTCCGGAATGCTCGTCGAGCCAAAGCGCCAGCCATGTTGATGGCTTTGAGCGCAAGAAACCGGTTTTTTGCCGCCTAATCTCGGCTTCACCCCCTCGTGGTACTTCGATTTTTACGTTGAGAGACCACGTGCTCGTATTCGCGTAGTAAGCGGGTGACTTAACAAACATTTATCTCGCATACATAGTGCAACAGAATCACAAAACAATTGCATCGCCCGTGGCAAAATCTAACACGAAATTCGAAAGAATCTAAAAGAAGTCCAGAGCTTATTAGAGGGTATCTAAAATTTTGCATGGTTCTGGGATGACGTAGAATTCACGGCTCATCGTCCCGAATGTCGGCGAGAGGCACTAAATTGATGGATTTGATTTTATTGGAATTGAATTCTTGAAACTGACATGAGTCCAGATCCGAGAAGTGGCGATTCGACGGTCGGAAAGCGTTGACTTCAGTGTCCTGACCGCCCGGATACGGCCGTGCATAGGCGCTCGTCGTGATACCCCCGAAAAGATATTCACTGTCCTAAAAATGGCAATCGTAGGGGAATTCCCAAAACAAATGCTTACCCTGCCCATGCTGTCCTGCGAGATCATGGCCCCGGGGAGATAGTCGGATTCGCGGAATTCCAAACGCGAGTTCGGCGTGTCCATCACGAAGCGATCCTCGAGGGGCTGCAGAGGGGTCAGCCCGGTCTAAAAAGGACCATTTCACAGTCACCACTAAATGTCGCACCTGATTCCCTGGGCCCGAGAACAGATTCGGGATAGAAAACGTGGCATTGGCCGAGGTGGGCGTGTAGAAGCCGGTCGACGGGCCCGCAGGCTGCATGTTGTATTGGCTCTGGGCGTAGAAGGAAGCGATTGGCTCCTGTTGCAGTTGGGTCGGGTGTTCAGGGCTGAAAACAGCAATTACGTTGTTAGAAACCGTAACGTTACGTTGGAATGGCGTAACCGACGGTGGGCCCGGGAAGAGCCACAAATCCGTAGTGCGGGATGTGGGGCAGCGTATTGGCGGCCATGGCAATTGCCATATCCTGGTTGGCTTTTTCATGGTCCTTGTGCAGATAGTATTCCTGTAAAAGCAAAAAATACATCAACCGGAAGTTTGTCACAACCTTGAAAAAGTCTTCGAACTGCTTGAAGCGGTTGGTGAAATGGACCGGGTCGTAGCGAAGCAGAGTGTCACGGAATGCCGCTCCCTGCTCTTCCGATCTGAAAGCCGAGCTATTCGTCGGCCCAGGTTGGCCTTATTTAAAATACAACACGTTTTGATACTGCTTTTTGTGCAACATAGTTATAGCGCTGGACGCAGGACGCAGGAATTGGTCCTAAAACCGACAATATATGTCTTGAAAAGGCGCAATTTCCGCCAGTTTAGCTAGTTTAGCTAGTTTAGCTAAAAAGGTCTTTTAGATCACAAATCTTTAACTTGAAATAGAAATTACTAAAAAAAATTGATGCCCAGGACTAGCAAAAAAACGCACAATCCAAAAACAAAAATTGAGCCTTGTGTAAACGAACGTATCAAAGTCAAAATGAAGTAAGGTAGCGGCTAACAAAAGGTTTACGCAAATGCCAGGCAATGCAGCTCCTTGTCTCCGGTTGTAGACGTGAAGTCGTGCTTTGGCGACGGCTGGCGGCCGACGAAAGCGCATAGCTGCGTGTGCGGTTTTCTACTCTAAAAAAGCCATACCAAGCCGACAAAAGCATACCCAAATGTAGAACAGATTACGGTGGTCGGTCATTGCGACAATCTCATGGAACCACAGGGCCCACACCACGTAGCAGGTTTCGCCGCGCGGGATCTTCAGCGAGAACTCGTACTCCAAGCGGGCCTAAAAAATACAATTTGGAAAACTAGTAAACAGTTCCTTGGTCTACATCAGAAAATTTGGGTCCCAAAGAAAAAAGTTTATTTCCACCCTGGAAACAGTAAAAGACCCAAATTTTACCTTTCCCGGATTCACCGTGATACCATTCGGGCGTTGGCCTTGCTGCGCGTGGAGCGGGTAGTCTGGCCGCGCCGGTAGTAGATACGAGCCCACCTTCAGCGACAAGAACTGGAAGCGCGGCCGCTCTCGGTAGAAGCACCCTAACGATATATTTAATAACCGGACGTCTTAGTAAACCAACTTCCGCGATAACTGCCATGTATCTTGATCGATTCTCTCAGCTCGCGCTGCTTCCGGCGTACAAGCTTCAGTTCGGCAGTGGGGCGTTGCGGGCGGCCCTCCGACCAATTCATCAGGGTTTTCAGCTCGATCATCGAGCAGGTATTCACCAGGCAGTGGTAGCCGTCGTCGACCGATTCGTGGTCTACCGGTATCCTTGTTGGAGGCGTCGGCTGAAAGAGGTCGGTTATAAGAGCCCCGAACGAGCAGTGGTGAATCGTAGACACTTGCGACCCGATATTTATTTCCGAAACAGCTTCAACTTTCATATTAGCGCCGATTTTTCAATACAATTTGGCTCCACGTGCGTTACTACGAGGCTTTTTGACCAACTTTTTGAAATATAGAGCTTGTTCAGAATTTCAGACGTTATGAACACAAAAAAGGGTACTGAAAAAACAGCTAAATTCACCGAATGGTCTAAGGCGACAGCTCAAACAAGCACTAGCTCTTAGAATTTACCCTCGGCATTCGTTCCTTGATGCTGTTGCGGCGCTTCACCAGCTCACTCTCGATCCTGTCGGCCATGGCCCTCGACCGGCGCGGGGACACCGGCGGCGGTGGCCGTGGTGACACATATTCGTGGGGGTATGTCTAAAAAAGTTGAGTACAACAACGCTTGATAAGCTACCATCAAAGTGCGCAGCACCAGGGGGCCGAAGCCAAGGAGCCGCCTATGAAAATGCGATCAGCGGGGTTTTTGCGTACATCACGATGCAAATGAATCTCATTCAAATGCTAAAATACGCTAGTGTTTAGCGGAGCAGATTTTTTATGGCTGGACCAACCGTTTTTTAAAAACTCTAAACTTTAAACGTTACTTTCTAAACTTAAACTCTAAACTTCAAAAACTTTGAAAACCGGTGTTAAAACAGCAGTTACAATTATCTATCGCTTGTAGTACATTTGTGATTTCACAAAAACATTGACCAAACATTTATTCACGAGCATACAAAAATTGGGGGATAAATTGCGAAATTAGTCTATTTCTTGGCGCGGTCGCTGTCCGAGGTCCTCGTCCCGCGCTTCTTGCCGGTCTATAATGTGATTTTGCGGGAACATCGTGAATTTCCACCTTGAGCATGGCCTTCAGTTCTTGCTTCGTCTTCTCCTCGTGCTCGCGGATGCTCTCCAGCGACTTATCCCACCACTCATCAGCCTTGCAGTAGACCTCGCTAAAGATTCGTTGAATATAGAACGCAGGCCAAACAGACCGGTGGAATTTGGAGAAGATGCTCGGGTAGTGCTTATGCAGCATGCGCTCAATGCGGCCGCCCACCCCGCGCCAGCTGAACGTCACGTTGACCAGCTTGTAGGCGCACATCACGGGAATCTAGGGAAATAAACCTCAACTGTTTCTAAAAAACCTCATCGCTCTCCGTCCAATCCTCCTCCAAGGGCCCGATCTCCATCTTCTCGCTGCGAACCCGGCGCGGGTCATTCTTTGCGTTCAGCTCCTGAACTAGGTTATTGAATCTGGTAGGATTTTTGTAAAAAACTTTTTTTTAAAGATCGGAGCTACCGAAAGTTAATAGAACACATACCGATTGTTTCACGTACTGGTCGTCGTAGATGTTGATCTCCACCACCTCGCGGTCCTGATGCTTCGTGTTCAGCGCCTATAACAGTAAAAAGTATCGCTAGGTGAACCTCACGTTATCCGAGTCGCCAGCATCTTGCAGGTGGATCGATTCGATCTCAAGCCGAAAGCTCTTCTTCATGTAGCCCGGGTTCTAAAAGAAATTTTAGGAAGATCTATCAGAATACCGTAATGACAGTCTTGAAGTAGGGATAGGCGTTCCATGACTCTTCGTGTAGCTCGAACGCAGCCTCGGGCAACATCTAAAAAGCTACCTCCTTAAAAAAATACAAAAAAATATCATTACTTTCTGGACGAGCCACGGCACCTTGCTCTTGACGCGATAGATCTTGTGAGTGTAGATGCCCTCGAGCTCACGCCCCGGGCACACCTCCTCATCGGCGCCGAATTCCCGTTGGACCAAAACCTGCAAATGTAGTATTAGGAAATTGGGAAAGAGGTGATGATGACAATGATGATGTTGGTGGTTAATAAGCGTTTTTATAACATTATTTAATGCTCAAAAACGAAATCAACACGTTTCTAATTAATTAGATCATTTACCAAAATAGCTTTTACAAAATTATCGACCTTGCATGTGAAAAAAAGGATGGAATGTAAAATATAGCAAAGTACTCGCCAGATCAAGACGAACATTTTGGTATAGTTTAAAAGTGCACAAAAAACGCATTTTTCCTTGGTTTGACGACTTTCAGGAAGCTTTCTTTTCTTTCAAATCAAAATCTCATCAGAGCGAAAAGGCTCAAAACCGCCAAAATCACCTCAACCCCTTCGCCACCGCCGGTCTCCGCCTTGCTCGCCTCGGCCGTGTTGTAAAGGTGGCCACGCTGGAAGTCGTCCACCTCGAACGGTACCAGGATTCGATATTCCTGGAAAAAAGCGCCAGTCAAAAAAGAAATAACGCTACCTTCACAATCATCTTGGGTCACGAGTTAGCAGGGGGAAAGTAGAAAAAAATCTAGGAAAAAATTTGGATGATTTCTTGTTGCAACGGCTCATGCAAAAGTCTGGAATTTCCGTGCAAAACGTCGGCCACCGTACGCGCTTTATTCAAAGTGACAAAGGAATGTAAGGCACTATAAGTGGGTAAGGCGCAGCAGACACTGGCAATGAGCTGTCTAATAAAAATAAGCTGGCTTTTCATAATATGGGCGTTAATTTGGTAATGGTTCATTAGCGGGGGTAAACAAACTTTTTCCCTTGATGGAGAAGAATCTATTTGAAGCAAATTTTAGGCGGTGAAAAAACTAAAACTATTAAAAACTTTTGGCAAACTTTGTCCTATGTTCCCGTAGCCTTCCTATGGTGAAAGAGGATACGCGCTTTTTAGCAAGTTTATGAAGAAACTATCAAAATTGACGAAAATGCTGACTTTCTGGGCACAATTTTGGGTTTTCAAATTGCTTTTTAAGTTTTTACTAATAAAAAATGCTAAAAACATAAAAATAGTTTGTTTTATTACTATGGATTATAAATAAGTAACCGCCACTAACGGACCAGGGCCATTAATTCGAAAAAAGCACACATGAACAAGGCACTATTGCATCTAAATCGTTGAAAGACAAGTGAAAAAGAACTGTCGGGGGGATGAGATTTTACAAGATTTTAGATACATCGAAAATTCGCTAAAACAGCGTCAACCCTCAATCGGGTACTGCAACATTGAGATTGGGATTTGCTGTACGGGCTGCGCATCCACGGCCTGTCCGCTCCGTCGGCTGCGCACCTGCCAATGTTTTGTTCTTGTTTTACGTAATAAATTGGGTGAGTTCAAAATATTTGTTGACCTTTCGCTGCTCGGGCGATGAGGCGGGCGACAAGATGCCGGTGGCTCGGTATCTAAAGATCGCCAATCATATCCGCCCCACCCTTTTAGTCGCTCATTTGCTCGCACTCGCTGGCACGGCGCTCACCTCGAAATAATTTTACTGACACAACCGTGTGAGATGCACAGCGTCTTCGAGATTGCGTTGACCTAAAAGGAATGGATTATGGGCGTAAGCATGGTACTGGACTGTTAGCAGGGGAAAAATGTTTGTTTTCCGTCTATACCTGCTAGTTAGCAATTTTTAAAATTTTTGTTTAGTTTTTGATTGCTAGAAAGTCACAAAAATGCGTTTAGGAATTTTTAAATCCGAAACTTTGACCTTTCGTTCATTTTGCATACATTTTTTACCCAAGAGTTCGTTTTTATAAGCTTTTAATATCTAAAAACCGTGTAAAATGCTATACAAAAGGGTTTATATTGTGCTATTCAACCGTACAGGATTACTGCGAAAAATTAGTTTCCCCCCCGCTAACAGTCCCGTGCCGCAAGCTTTTTAATCAACTGACCTTCATCCCGGCTAGATGCAGTTCGATAATCCTTGTTCGCTCGAGCATCGACAACGGTCTTCCCGGACAATAGGGTCGGCCGTACAGATTCGTACCACCGTTAAAATTTCCGTTATTGCTTGAATCCAGTTACCTCCTTTCCGACGTGCCCTCCTTCCATCCTCTGGCTTTATCAAGGCTTCTTCTAACCGTTTCGACTCGGCCTCGGGGTCAATGACTGGGTACGCCAACTAAATTTTCATCTTTAAACTCCGAGTTTTGTCGTTTAATTTTTGAAAGTAAATTTATCCTCTACATCTCACTTACCTCCTTTATTTCTTGATTGGCAAAAACATCAGGCTCACCGACACCCGGGTAATCTGGCATGTATTCCATATAGCAACCGCCAGCTGTAATGGCTTATGCTATACCGTACTACTACAGTACTCACCTATGGCATACTCGGCGGAATATTCTGGCCTTAGAAACGCCGCATCGGTTGGGTAGTCAGCAGCCGTATCGTACGAGTAATCGGTCCCAGAACTTGACGGTGACGGCGACATGTTTGGAAAAGGCTGATAAAATGATTCTCTCGAGCAAAGGTGACTCACCCGTAGTGGAGAATGCTCCAGCCGGCTTACATGAAGCCACGCATTAAAGTCGCGCTCGAGTGAGGCCGGCGTCGAAGTGTCGATCAAACATCCACAATGGCCCCAAGTGCAGTAGGGCCCTCTGACGCATCCCGGGGGGTACGCATTTGGATACGCTTCGGGCTTCGGCGGCAGGAAGGGCTCTACTTTTTTCTCGCCATCCATTCACGGGCCTGAAAATTTGTTTGCTGCAAGGTGTAGATGTTGCCCTCTATGGAGTAGAAGGTTAGGGAAAGGGCGACACGACAATTGGGCCCATAATTTTTAACCGAACCAATATTTTAATACAGCCTTAATTTTTTTGACACCAATTATATGTATCCTACCAGGCCAGAAACTACTTTAACAGTCAATTTAAAAATTTAAACGTCTTCAGGTTTAAGCTTTAAACTTAGCAAAATTTTAAACTGAATTTAAACTTTAAACTTTTAAAAAATGCAGTTTTCTTCCACACCGGGCGGCCATCACTTTTGTATCTCGGCTCCGCCTTGTTCTAAAGGGTTGTAAGGTGTGTCGAAATGTTCATCTTGATCTGGCGAGTATTTTGGTATACTTTACACCCCGGTAGCAAAATGGGTAGACGCGATACAGAGGTTCGTGAACTACGTGTCGCTACACTCTTGCCATTTATTTAAATGGCCCTAGTATCGTTTTAAAGCCAAGTTTTCGGACCGTAAGTGTCGAGCACCTGAGCAAAGTACTGCCCTATTCCCACAACTTCATGTCAAAGCTGTCAAGCCCAATCCCAGAAAATCCCAATCCAAGGGCAAACTTCACTACGCCTCGGGCTATCGGTCGATCCGGGCGAATGGAGAATCACTCTGACAGTTTCCCTTTTTGCGGGATTCGAAAGCGAGGGGGCTTGCCGACGGTAAGGGGTGGGAATGGCAGTTGGTTTGTGTCAGGAAGGATACTGGTTTCCATCATACAACTGTACATGGGAGTTGGTGGTCTGCTTTCTGTTTCGAGGGGGTGCTTCAGTATTGTTCGTCGGCAAAATACTGTCTCGGGACATGGTCACACCTTTTTTGGAGGGAGCCCTGTAGGGTTGTGGACCGGGTCGCGAAAAATACGCGACATTAGCGGGTGGACAAAGGTTGGGGGGATGAGTCAGAGCGGTTGGTAATTTTACGAAATAATTGGTGTAGTTGGAAGATGACGTGAAGGGCATAAAGCTATAAGGAAATCAAAATCTATTATCTTGACTATGACTATGAAAAATTGCGAATTCTGCCTGTGGATCTTTCACCTTATCGGGGGGGCGGGGCAAAGTCTGGAAAAGCCTAGTCCCTGAATAGGAAGTATTTTAATAATGTTTTTAGTATAATAAAACTAGATTTCAATAGAAAAACTGTCTAAAAACTATTAAAAAATTTCAAAAATGAAATATTGGGCAAAGAACCGCCATGTTTAGTCGGAAATCGAGATTCTTTGTATTTTTTAAACAAAATTTGTGTAATTTGTAGGTGTTTACGTTTCGGAATAGTAAAAAGAGCTTAGAACAACCTCCGCTAACGTATAAACCCAAAAACTAAAATAACTTAAAGCCAAGGAAAAGTTACCTAGACAAATTTTTATCACTGTATAGGAAGTACATCCAAAAACTAAAGTAACTCCAAATAGCAACTAATATTCTGATTCAATACAATCCAAAACGAATCCCAAAACGGCAAGGTGGCGGTGACGCGTCGAAAAACATTTCTCCAGCGCCTCCAGGCAGCCCCCAGCCGAACCCCCCGAGGGGGGTGGGAAGCGACGATCGGCTGGGGGAGATCAGACGCAAGCGATTGGCAACGAAAGTGAAGACGAGTATCGCTCCCACCCCTAAAAAGGAGCTATTTTAATAGAAAGTGAGGAGGCGGGCGAGAGAGCGGCGACGCGGCGGAGGATGAAGATGCCGTGGAGGGCTGGCGGAGATAAAGGAGGCATCCGCGAACGGCATTCGCCCTCCCTTGGTAGAACAGGTTCTTCGGGTGCCTCCAGGGGGGTGGTGGGGGGCGAAAGCAGGGCTTCCCTTCCTCGGCACAATCGCTGGCAACAATCGAATAACAACTCGGAAGCACACAAATGCAGCCGGAGGGCCGGCTCTCGATTTCCCTATGAAAGGGCCGGTGGGGGAACATCAGACCGGGGGGAAACGCCGCGCGCGCCGCCGTACCTGGAAAACAACGTAGAATACTTTCTGAAAGTTGCACCGACTAAACTAAAGGCAGCTAAAGTTTTCCAAGTAATTCCTTCCGCTTCGAATGCCTAAACTCTATTACTTCTCCATGGAAATCGGTCGGTATTTGAGTGTTAGCAGGGGGGTACTAACTTTTCCAGTAATCCTCTACGGTCCGATGGCAAAATATACCCATTTTTATATTATGTACACTGGTTGTAGATAAAAAGCCCATAAAAAAGCGAAAATTTTTGACTTCTTCGCGAAAAGTTTATGAAAATTGACCAAAAAAGATTTTCAAACGGTTTAAAACAATTTTGTAAAATTTTGAAAACATTTTTTGTAACTTTCTAGCGATCAAAAACTACTAAAAACATTATAAAATACACTATTTAGAACCAACAGGTCGAAGCAGGAACACAAAAATTACTTTTCTCCCTGATAAACCCCCTTTCCCCCCCCCCCCGTTAACAGTCCAGTACCAATAGGCCTCCTGGTTCCGTAGCCAGCTAAAAATTCCAAAAATACCAAAAACCACGTCAGGAGCATCACCCACCTAACATACTACTCCACAATTATTGCAGCCAGTCTTCTGCGTAGGTGTCTACCAGTAAATGGGTGCAGGCCGAGCGCATTCCATATAAAACAGATGGGCCCAGGCCCGCTGAGGCTGCCGAAAACCCCGCTGGCCATTCAACGCCCATATCTCCGTACGATGAGACCACAGCTCGCGTTTTGTTTGCTATTTTACTGCCTATTACTCTGGAGCTGCCAGGCAAGACCAAGGTAAGTACGCTATAGGTATAACGCTAAACGAACTTATTAGACTTTACAGCTAAAGCAAAGCTAGATTTCCAGATTACCAGACCTGATCCAGGGTTTTTCTTCCAAATACAACCGCCACTGCTTCTTCACCGCCCTAAACTGCCTCTACCCGCGCATGGTTGATTCTAAGCGGAGTTGGCTGACCTGAACAAAACTTTTATCGCAATGTAAATGTGTGAAAAATAAATATTTGGAAGTTATCAAGCATGTTAGTAAACTAGTAAGATCAAAGTAAATGCGACAACAAGTCAAGAATCACAATCATCGGCCGATCGCTTGTAAACAGATTGGAGTTTCCGCTTCTCTTCGTTGTAACGGTCGAGGTCGGCCTTGAACTCCGCGATGTAAGGTTGACGCTCTTCCGGTGAAAGGGCCTTCCATTTAGGGCCGCAAACTTGGATTGCCGTAAGGCCATGATGCCCCTTGTTGCCCCAGTTAGCACAGTATTCACGTACGAATCGGCAATACGGGTTCGCTGGCCGCTTAATCCGAGCGTATGTCTTAGGCTGCCAAACACTGGCCTTCGACGAAGCCGATCGGCGCGTACTGCGACGCACGTACGTTCTATGATCTGGTGGCCTTTCGATGTACGGCTTCCCAAGCCCGGCCATTTTGACGAACTGGCCCTTCGTTGCGGCGGCCATACCCTTCCACTGGTCCTTGCAGAGCTTCGTGAGCTTGACACATGGCGTCCGTTCGTTCGGGAACGCTTTGACGTAGTTTTTGATGCACGTAGTCGTGAAGAAGTCGAGTCCTTCTTGCTGTCGCTGCTGCGTTGTCGCTGCCATGAAGCACGGCTGGCGCACTGAAAAATAGATATTAAAACGGGTATATAGATTTTTCAAATTGTTTTTCTGAATTTTCTACTCAATTTTTCGAAACATTTCTACAAAAACAGCGAGGATCCGATCGAAATGAAAGAAATTTCCAAAATTCAGTTGGTGATGCTCCATTTGCAACTATGTACCCCACGCGCGTAAACTGGAATATGCCGGAAATATATTTTCGCAAATAAAATCCGCATTTTTTAAAATATCAGTCTTTTGAAACCTTTCAGAAAACTATGTAAAAATTAAAGAAATGTAAACCACGAGTTATAGACTCGATTCTTTGTTCTTTGCGGTTCAAACGACACCAAATATCCCGACTTTTTGTTTAACGCGATTTTCATCGACCCTCGCCACCGAACTGGAGTTGAACGTGTTCTTTCTATCTTTTGGCCTTATTCTTTTCTCTTCTCTTTTTCCTAGAGAGCCAAGGCTTCTCCCGAGCTGCTCCCTTATTTGAACTGGGCCCCGGTGCCTCGCCCCACATTTGACCAATGCAATGCAGCGTCGGCGTTCCGCCTTATTTGCAAGCATAAAGTATAAAACTGTATGCAATCGTCTTTCAAAAGCTCTCTTTTCAGGATATTAAAATTTAGACTTGTCGGAGTATTAAATCTGTTATTTTCAGGTCTCTGCGGACCCCCGAGTATGAACATACCGGGAAAAGCGCCTCGATGGTTGATTGGATCCGCGTTCGGCATCGGCTTTGCCATTTTTGCCGCCCTCGGGGTGTTAATATACGCGGTGAGCCTTGTTTTTAACGTTAATTTATTTTTGCTAGGCTCATAAGGAGATTCATGGCTCAAATCGATGCGGGATGACGTTTATGTGGCGTAAAATCAATATGCTGGTAAGCAATTCGATACATATCAAAGATAATTTTCCCTTTAGACGATCAAAGTTGAAAACAACAGCGTCTCAAAATACGGCCTTTATCGCTACCTGGAGGGCGACAATCCTCGATTCTTGTAGGTTCCTCTTTTTTGGTAGGAGCCTGACCGTTTAGTGATCGCATTGATGAAACGGCTTTTCCGGTTCTATTCGTCCCCGGCAGCGGAGGCTCTGGAAATCAGGTAGTTAAGGATCTAATATCTAATTTGTTTGCAGGTTCGCTCCATCGCATCGGTGCTACAAAACAAGACCGAGCTGCGCAAGCTTCCCTATGATTTCCACTTTTATGCGGTCGATTTTAATGAGGTAAATTGAAGGCGAAAATTTTATGCAATTTTAGGAACTTACCTTTTTATCGGGCAGCACCATCTTGCGACAACGTGAATTTGTGCTCAAAGCGATCGGTGTGCTGTTGGAGATTTACAAAGATCTCAACAAGGTTTGGGTGTTTTCTAAGGCTGAATTTCGTCTAGCTGACGTTGATTGGGCACTCGTTCGGCGGCTCTATCGTTCTCTCACTGGTTGGCGGGGAGGAGATCGTTCGGCAGAATGTCGATCTGGTGCTCTCCTTGGCGGCGCCAATCGCGCTTCCACGTACGTTATTTTCCAGTGTTTTAAAGCCAGAGTTTTTGCAGCTATAATGATGGATCGCGCCATGGCCACCTTTTTCGCGTCCATGCATTCCGACTGGGCCAATCGGGAGACGAGCAACCTGGAGGACGTTGGAGTCGTTAGCTGGTCGGGCGGCCTCAAGGATTATCAAGTGCCGGATCGGTAATATTTGCCTTTTTTTTGTCAGTTCTTGGGTTTTTAGACTCGTCAACCCTCGTAATGCGGTAAAAGCCTGGCATGGTGTTTTCTTGCCAAGTTGGGCACTGGAAAAGGTCGAGGTTGACACGGATCACTTGTGCATTCTTTGGTGCAACCAGTTTGTCAGGTGTGTGGCTTGATATTAAAGAAAATACGTATCACCTACTTTCAGGCATGAAAGCCGGCTGCTGCAAGCATACGCTGAAAAAAGCGGCCCCGAAAAAACGGGTAGAGCGATTGTAGAGGAGTTTTACGCGAGCGAAATGAAAGTAAGCTGAATTTTAAAACATGAAAACCTTGAATTTTAGGATCTCTCCGCTGCGGACGGTCCTGAAATGCCAGAAATCACTGAACGAGTGCGCAATTTTCTGTGGCCGTGGGACCATGAAAAGTTTGCCTTCTCCAGCGAGGGAGGAGGAGAGGTATTTTTTATTTCGTTTTTCTTTACTGTTTCCAGACAACCGAGCGAAACTTCCATTTCCTTTCCGACCTCCCAGCCACAGTGCTCCGTTTGGATTTGACATGGACCGGGCCCAGATGCAAAGGTATCAGGATCAAGAAAATCCTATTATTGTGAAATTTAGGACCTAGCGAGGTGTATTTCCGGTATAAGAATGGGCTGAAGCGTCGGGCGCATATTCCGGAAAAGGGGCAGCAGGTTGGGCGTTATGACCTTGTCGCTTATAAGGATGCCACCAGATGACATTCCACGTCCCGCAAACGATGTCGCTCACGGAGCCGCTGGCCGGCCTGTTGCATATAAAATCGACGACGCGGTGCTCCTACAAAGCGATGCTATCCAACGACCTCGGATGGGGGATTTACATGGTATGTTGTATTTGATACGCTAGGTTTCTGAAGACCACATTGAGACGTTATATTCTCCATTTTCAGGCCATCTTGATGCATTTGACGAGCATCCCAACGGCCATCCTTGACGCCTCCCTCTTGGTCTCTTCAATTCGGCTTGCCCTTGACCGGAAGCTGGCCCCAGCCACCATTTTCAAAGTTACCAACGCCTTTCTGGTGTTGAAATTGTGAGTTAATAGGGCTGAAGAGACTAGGAAGTTCTGGAATCGATTAGTCTTATTACCTATTTCCAGAGGCATCGATTTTGCGCACGGGATGGCTTTCCGATCGGCCATCATCTACCTGAACCTCTTCATTCTCTACTTCATTTTCGTCTTCGCCATCGTCGAGCCGGCCCGTAAATACGTGCAGAAATGGTAGGTGCCGAGACTAGACTTCTTAAGCATTTTTTAGGACTGCACGTTTGTCGGGCCTCGAGGCAACAAGGCTTTCTTGATGCTGATTTTCATCTTGGCTCTAGCGAATCCGCACATTGCCCTAGCGACGACGGCCGTGTGGATAGCATTGGTGAGATTTCCTAAATGATTCGACGTCTCGGCTTAGATCTCCAATTTCGGCTCCTCGCTGGTCGGTGGCCTTTCTGGGGCAGTCATTCTGGGAGCTATCGGGCTGGCTGGTGGCATCAGGGATCAGATCTTTGGTGCGTTTTTCCCGAATTCTATCAATGGATGTTACAGCCCTCGGCTTTGGCCAGCTGAACATGACGATCCCGATCCCGGTGTTCGTGCTGTTGTTCCTGACGAAAACTGAGGTAAAACATGGCCTTCTACGGGATTGACGGCCATTGCAGCGTGTCAAAGAGATTTTTGCGGCCTCCCCAAATGCTTGGATGATTTTACCGGCCGCCGCCTTGTTCATGACGTTCATCTCGGAAGAGGTGGGGTTTTTTTTTGAGGGTATTGTGTTGAATGGAATTGGGTCTACATTGTGTAAAATTTTTTTGATAGTTCCGAATATGTTTTTTAAAAATTGTGGAAAAAAGTTATTGTAAAAGCAACAACGCATTTTAATGCGCAAGATGATCTTCAAAATAACGAGAAAATGTTTGATTTAGCGATTTTTGGAAACAGGAGCTAAATTGCCGCTGAAAATTGACTTGGTCCTATTTCAAAATGAGGAAAAAAAGCACTTTTTACTATTGGCGTTCCTTGGACACCTCTGAACGTTCGTCATTCAGTTGCCCCTCGAGATTGGCGCCAGTTTCGTCACCGTCTGGATCTACCTGTCGCAGTTGGCCCAGCGTCACTCAGTTGCACCAAGTTCAGAGGCCGCTGATAACCATCGCCCCAAACAGTGGAACGACAAATACAAGAAGAACTAGTATTCCTGAATTTCCAGCCTTTTTTGTATGTATCTAACCTTAATCTTTATCTGACCTGTGATATCAGCAAATTTTTGCTCCACCCAGCTTTTTGTCTTTCATACGATGCTTTTAATTAACCAAACCAAGCCATCAATTTGCTTTTCTAGTCACTTACCTCCCCCCCTTCCAAAGGATCTCTGCACCCAAAACTTTGTTGTGACATAAACGCTTCGAGTGTTTTCCGGGGCCCGGCTTCACGTGTATTCCGGCACACTTGATGTAACGATTGTGAAACGATTTATTGACGGGTGAAAAGCGGGCTGGGAGATCCGGGACTTTAGTTGTTGATGGCTTGCCATTTGCGAATCCACTGGGTCGGGCCGTTCGGGTCGACGTCAAGCATTGCCTGGAAATGATTGTTGTTTCGATTTTCGATGGCGATGCCGAAAATCGGGCTTGCAAATTTTAACACGGAAAAATCGGATTTCGAAATATCGCAACCCCGAAAATCGAAGTCCTGAAATACCCAAAACCTGTGTAGCCCCCCATGGTTTCTTTTTTCTGGCCCCACAACAGAGGGTTTAATGAAGCGCCCCCGGCCCCCCGGACCCCCCCCCTTGGCTTACACAGCTTTTGGGCGAATTGACCCCCCCACATTATTTGGCTTTTGGTCTGGTGCTCCGGCCTATACACGAGGTTTTAGTACCAGAAGGCATTGAGACATCGCTAACCAAATTCCGAAATTATAATTTTCGGTGCTGGACTGTTAGCGGGGGGCGGGCGTCGCGCAGGGAAACTCATTTTTAATTTTTCCGGCTATACCTATCGTAGATTAATAGATTAATGTATAGTCGAAAAATATTAAAATTTTGAATATTTTCCCCTTTTGATCATTTCTCCTCGGTTTTTGACCAAAAAAATTTTCGACATTTAGAATTTTTTATACGCTTTTTATATCTGAAAACTGTGTAAAATACTTTAAAATGTTTTATTGTTCGTTTCTGTTTCACAGTAATCCTTCCGGCTTACTGTGAAAAATTGGTTTCTCCTGCTACCCCCCCCCCCCCCCCGCTAACCGTTCAGTACC